CTAAAATGTATTTTTTAATGAGTACGTCACGATAATCTAATCTAGATTTTCAAACGTTCTTTTTTCTTCTTTCGTCGACCGGTATTTTGTGGCCCAGGACCGGGTCGCGACCCTGCATTTGGGAATCACTGGAGTAGACCATAAATAAACGATTGAACCAGCTACCCTTAAACTTAAACAGAAGATGTCACCGGCAATAGCTCAGTCACTCAGCTCATGTCACCAGGCCACGTCAACGGTTGCTCTTGTTTAGCTTGGGTCGACTTCAATTGCTGAGGCGTTTATCCACTAGCTTGGGTAATGTTCAGTTATCCACTGCCTTTGTCTATTTCCAGTTATTATCCAATGACTATGTCCAGTTATTCACTGATTTGGGCTATGTCCAGTTATTCACTTGCTTGGGTTATGTCCAGTTATTCACTGGCTTGGGTTATGTCCAGTTATTCACTGGCTTGGGTTATGTCCAACTATTCACTGGCTTGGGTTATGTCCAGCTATTCACTGGCTTGGGTTATGTCCAGTTATTCACTGCTTTGGGTTATGTCTAGTTATTCACTGGTTTGGGTTACGTCCAGCTATTCACTGGTTTGGGTTATGTCCAGTTATTCACTGGCTTGGGTTATGTCCAGTTATTCACTGGCTTGGGTTATGTCCAGTTATTCACTGGCTTGGGTTATGTCCAGCTATTCACTGGTGGGTTATGTCTAGTTATTCACTTGCTTGGGTTATGTCCAGTTATTCACTGGCTTGTGTTATGTCCAGCTATTCACTGGTTTGGGTTACATCCAGCTATTCACTGGTTTGGGCTATGTCCAGTTATTCACTGGTTTGGGCTATGTCTAGTTATTCACTGGTTTGGGCTATGTCCAGTTATTCACTGGCTTGGGTTATGTCCAGCTATTCACTGGCTTGGGTTATGTCCAGCTATCCACTGGTTGGGGATATGTCCAGCTATTCACTGGTTGGGGTTATGTCCAGCTATTCACTGGTTTGGATGATGCCAAGTTGTCCACTGACTTGGGAGGGTCGAGTTAAATCGATGGCCGACTTCCACATACCAAGTTCATCATTTGACCAGGTCGTGTTGCCCCAAAAGGTCACGCCAAGCCAGCGTGCACCAGCCGGAGCTCGCTATTTTAACTCAGTAACTAACCCCAGTTGTCTCCCCTGTGAGTGTGAGCCAGCCAAATGTCGGAGAGATAAGAATAAGGGGGGAGGGGGGCTCTGGCGCCCACGAGCAGTCTCATAGGTCAACACAGATGGTTAAGGAGCTGGTCCAGTCTCTCAGGTGCTAGGACTAGGATGGTTGCCAGGGAAATGGAATCCAAAAAAATTATGACTTTTACTGCACACGTTTCTTCCTTTATTATTATTTTTTTTTTAAAGTTAAAGACTCCACCATGGTTGGAAAACAAGGACTACACTTTGGTACATCTTTGACGGCTGTAACTGTTAGTAAACAATCTACTATTTATACGTCGAACAGTGTGAACTTTCAGAGAAAAAGAAACATGAAAGTTCCATTTAATTAGAAGAATGGGGACAGTTGAGTTTGGCACAGCGGGAGTTTGTGAAACACGGGGCGATCATCTCATGGGATTGGAACACGGGGCGATCATCTCATGGGATTGGAACATGGGGCAATCATCTCATGGGATTGGAACACGGGGGCGATCATCTCATGGGATTGTAACATGGGGCGATCATCTCATGGAATTGGAACACGGGGGCGATCATCTCTAGGGATTGGAACACGGGGCGATCATCTCATGGGATTGGAACATGGGGCGATCATCTCATGGGATTGGAACACGGGGCGATCATCTCATGGGATTCTCATGGGATTGGACCACGGGGGCGATCATCTCATGGGATTGGAACACGGGGCGATCATCTCATGGGATTCTCATGGGATTGGAACACGGGGGCGATCATCTCATGGGATTGGAACACGGGGCGATCATCTCATGGGATTCTCATGGGATTGGACCACGGGGGCGTTCATCTCATGGGATTGGAACACGGGGCGATCATCTCATGGGATTCTCATGGGATTGGAACACGGGGGCGATCATCTCATGGGATTGGAACACGGGGGCGATCATCTCTAGGGATTGGAACACGGGGCGATCATCTCATGGGATTGGAACATGGGGCGATCATCTCATGGGATTTGTGACGCACATGGCGGTCATTGATTTTGATGTCACGATAATAACAAAAACCACAATTTATACGGAACACACACAACAAAATGAATTCAATGAAGTGGATCAAAAATGGCGCCCAAAAAATAACTGCTGCCCCGGACGGACCCATTAATCCCACCCCACCCCTTTTTTTTTCCCCAACGTCCTTGGATTTGGGACTATGGACGAGACAATAATAAATTGGTCAATTGACACTGGACGAGTCAGTAAGAAATAGCTTAATTCATACCATAACGACTAACACTACTACGGTATCAATGACTTTCAAGCAGAAGATAAAACCACGTTTCAATATGAGCCAAACGTGTAGTCGGAGGTGGCACTTAAAAAACCCACTAGATTGAAGAAATACTTACTAAACTTACTTTGATTAAAATAACCTCACAAATTGGTGGTTTATTGACATCAGGTATTTACACAGTTTTTTTCCCCAATGCATGTTCTGTGTAGTGATGAAAAGGAATACAACAGCTTTTTAAAAGAGTATACTATTATTGAAAATTGTAAAAGGTAAAACTTAACAATTATAAACACGTTTGTAACTAACGTAATATTTTTAGCCATTATTCAAGATGCAAACGATCTCTTTATATATACATTTTGGATGTGCGCTGGGCTTTGACCAATTGGACGTACCGGTAATTAGAGTACGACTGTGCATACAGTTCTGAGAAAACGTGTCTTAAGTTGGGCAGTATACCCCAGGAGGCATAGGTTGTCTTAAGTTGGGGAGTATACCCTAGGAGGCATAGGTTGTCTTAAGTTGGGCAGTACAACCCAGGAGGCATAGGTTGTCTTAAGTTGGGTAGTACAACCCAGGATGCATAGGTTGTCTTAAGTTGGGCAGTACAACCCATGAGGCATAGGTTGTCTTACGTTGGGCAGTATACCCCAGGATGCATAGGTTGTCTTAAGTTGGGCTGTACAACCCAGGAGGCATAGGTTTCTTAAGTTGGGCAGTACAACCCAGGAGGAATAGGTTGTCTTAAGTTGGGCAGTACAACCCAGGAGGCATAGGTTGTCTTAAGTTGGGCAGTACAACCCAGGAGGCATAGGTTTCTTAAGTTGGGCAGTATACCCCATGATGCATAGGTTGTCTTAAGTTGGGCAGTACAACCCAGGAGGCATAGGTTGTCTTAAGTTGGGCAGTACAACCCAGGAGGCATAGATTGTCTTAAGTTTGGCAGTATACCCTAGGAGGCATAGGTTGTCTTAAGTTGGGCAGTATACCCTAGGAGGCATAGGTTGTCTTAAGTTGGGCAGTATAACCTAGGAGGCATAGGTTGTCTTAAGTTGGGCAGTATACCCCAGGAGGTATAGGTTAAAGAAAGAGTTGATAAGGAGTTATCTCTAGGTTTTTAATGGAACGTTCAGACATTTGAATTAGTTTATCCCATCGACGGCCGCAGCAGCCGTAAGAAAAATGATGGATCTGTTGATGAACCACCCACAGCACTTGTAGTAACTCTAGCCAGTCATTATGTAGTAACTCTAGCCAGTCATTATGTAGTAACTCTAGCCAGTCATTATCTAGTAACTCTAGCCAGTCATTGTTACTATCACATGTTCAATAAACATTTATTTGAAACAAAACAACCCAAAAAAACAAATGGTATCATAAAAAAAAAACATTCTTCAGCCTTTATTTGAAAATAAAACTGATTATTTGATATTATAAGTATAAGCATGGGACATTAAAAATACTGTGATAAACTTAAGTGTGTGAGAACACCTGGCTTGTATGGAACGCTGTCACATCAGGAGACATGAGCAGGTAAAATAACCTCAACACACATTGTCACCCAACCACACTGCCACATCAGGAGACATGACCAGGCAAAACAACCTCAACACCCATTGTCACCCAACAACACCCATTGTCACCCAACAACACCCATTGTCACCCAACCACACTGCCACATCAGGAGACATGACCAGGCAAAACAACCTCAACACCCATTGTCACCCAACCACACTGCCACATCAGGAGACATGACCAGGCAAAACAACCTCAAAACCCATTGTCACCCAACCACACTGCCACATCAGGAGACATGACCAGGCAAAACAACCTCAACACCCATTGTCACCCAACAACACTGTCACATCAGGAGACATGACCAGGCAAAACAACCTCAACACCCATTGTCACCCAACCACACTGCCACATCAGGAGACATGACCAGACAAAACAACCTCAACACCCATTGTCACCCAACCACACTGCCACATCAGGAGACATGACCAGGCAAAACAACCTCAACACCCATTGTCACCCAACCACACTGCCACATCAGGAGACATGACCAGGCAAAACAACCTCAACACCCATTGTCACCCAACCACACTGCCACATCATGAGACATGACCAGGCAAAACAACCTCAACACCCATTGTCACCCAACCACACTGCCACATCAGGAGACATGACCAGGCAAAACAACCTCAACACCCATTGTCACCCAACCACACTGCCACATCAGGAGACATGACCAGTCAAAACAAGCTCAACACCCAAACAATCCCATTGACCGTGTGAGGGGGAGATCAATGCTGCCACTGGAAATAAATGGTACGGTAGACTAAAATCGTTGAGACAATAGAGATGATCAACTGAAAGCTAAAGCCAACATGTAACATGGACAACTGAAAGCTTAAGCCAGCATGTAACATGGACATGATCAACTGAAAGCTAAAGTCAACATGTAACATGGACATGATCAACTGAAAGCTAAAGTCAACATGTAACATGGACATGATCAACTGAAAGCTTAAGTTAACATGTAACATGGACATGATCAACTGAAAGCTAAAGTCAACATGTAACATGGACATGATCAACTGAAAGCGTAAGCCAACATGTAACATGGATCAAACGTTTAATTTCCCCTACACCAGACAAAGCTGATCTAACATAAAAGTCCTTTAAGAACAGAATGTGTTGGCAATAATAAATTAAACTCCAACCAATCCTGAACCCAGAAGTGAAGTCAAAATTACTGTATAGAAGTAGAGGGGCCACTGGCAGAAGTCACAATTACACAAGTACAAGGACCACTGGCGTCACATTCATCAAAAGGACTTAGAATCAGAAGACATACATTTTGTTTAAAAGCCTGAAGTATATAGATTAAAATTTAAAAGGTAACTTGCAATGAGCAACAAGCCTTCATAACACAAAATAATGACTATAATAAAAGCACAATTTACACACACGGGTGAACAAGTGAAGTTTTGTGAATAGCATCAATACACATAGTAAAAACGTTTAGCTACCCCAAGAGACATTGTGCATATACGTACCGTACTCATTCCATTTAAATTAAGGAATCAGTACTCATGACATCTGAGCATACAATGGCTGAAATATTACCGAGCAAAGCAATTGATCGTCGACTCTCAAAGAATCCCATCCCCGGGCCTGGGTCCCACCTTCGTGACCGTTAGTTGGGGACCCAGCTCAGCGGCCAACCCGCAAACTAATTTTTGCGGCCGCAGGACAAGTAAATTGGGCTAATCTTTGTAGGAATCAGCCAGAACAACCAGAAAATGAGGCCCATGAATATAGAGACAAAATGTGCCACCCGCTTATGCCACTTGCTAAGTCATTCTCAGCAACAAGCTCACTATTCTAAAGTTTTGATGAAATAACTAGAGAACAGCACATGGTCATCTAACCCCAAAACAGCACTGCCTCAACCCAACAAAACCAGAGGCAGTGGTTCACTATCTTACTTACACCATCAAGCTGTGCTCACCCACGATGACCATCAAACTTTATGACATCTGTAGATTGTTCAGTCTTGCAGCCCCCATAGCGTACTCATGGTCCTTTAAGTATGTTTACCCCATGTTAATACCCCTAGGAACCCAAAAGGTGTGTACCACAATTCAATAGTTCCTACTGGCTGAAAAGGATGCAAATATTCCAAGTTAATAGCATCTGGGGACCTAAATGGTGTGTGTATCTGAAGCTAATAGCATCTGGGGGGGCCAAATGGTGTGTATATCCTAAGAAAATAGCCTCTGGGGGCCCAAATGGTGTGTGTATCCCAAGTTAATAGCCTCTGGGGGCCCAAATGGTGTGTGTATCCCAAGTTAATGGCATCTGGGGACCTGAATGGTGTGTTTATCCCAAGTTAAGTGCGCCCTTTGGTCCCAAAAATCTTAGACAAAATGGTGATAGAATGAGTGAAATAAATATACACCACGGGGCAGAATAAAAATGTCATCTCATAGAAATGATTTGTTATAAAAATGTCCACAGCATTTTAGATGCTAATCATTCATGTTAGGTGCTAGCACCCCGAGGACACCACCAACTAAATGAAGACTACCCGTTATCAACACTTGTATGTGATCCTTTTCCAACAAAACCCTGGGAACCTCTGGCACAAGTGATTTGGTCGTTTCATCAAAATCAAGAAGTGGGTCACGACCCTGTGTAGCCCAGGCCAAAGCCTCCATGATGCAAGGGAAAGCCAGGGACATGTGCTTTACAGATCCCGTGTGAGCACTTTCTACATGGCTGATCTCTGTCTGTTTCTCACTGCTATCACTGTCTTCCACCACCCGCAAGTCTTCATTTCTGTCTATGGAAAGAGAGCAGTCAGTCGGATGGTTCAATAGTTGTGGTTGTTCCGACAGGGCCCCGTCATCATCATTTTCTAAAATATTCTTTGAATTGAAGTTGTGGTCTAATTCTGGCTTGGGTGAAGCATCCGATTCAAAAAGTGAATCCCAACTGACTTTGTTGTTCTGTGCGCGTTCCAGCATTCCCTTCACAGTCACTGTTCGGTTCATCTGGTCTGGAGACAGAGCGACCCAAGCTATAAAATTCATCAGAGAAATTAAACCAAAAAAATGAGGAGTTCACTTGTAATCTAATTTCAAGTGCTGGATGCATTAATAGGAGAAACTTCACACATATTTACATCACCGGTTTCCGCTGTATTACTGTATTATAACAGTAGAAGAGTTTGTTTTTACTTGTTATCTTCAACCATATATTATTTTTATTACTACTTGCGCCCACCCTTTTTCTCTCATTTTTAGGTATCCTTGGGATACATACATACATATATATATTATGTATCGTTAATTTATCCTTATAGGATTTTTTTTTGTCTTTTGTACCGATGAAGGCATTTGCCGAAACATTGATGTTTGTCTTCTGTATGATCAGTATTAAAGCTGAACCTCTATTGTTTTATGTACACAAATAGTTTGTGTCCCAGTTATCTACTTGCACAAGTGATGTCTGTATGAATTATGAATCACCAAGACATTTCCTGGCTACACCACTTCATTCAGTCTAGAAAAGGCTCAGTGTAGATGTGCCCCATTTAATTATCGTGTGGAAGTAGATCAGGGTCTATCAGACTTACCAGGTCTGTTCAAAGACTCAACGGTCGACAGCAGGTTGGTACAGAATAGAGCAGCATCAAAACTACAGTCCTGCAGATAGGAAAAAGAACCATGGTTAAAACAGTGGACTGACTGAATAACATTTGACCACTCTGAAAATAAAGAGACTGCGGATTATAATTAACTTATGAAATTGTTAGAATGCAACCATGGCAACACTGGAACAGCCAAATGTCACCAGCATATTCAAGTAAACCCAGCTGTTCTTGCCTTGCCCTCTGCTATTTGAAAAAAAAATATATGGTCTCACTGCTTCTTAAGTTATCACTTAACATTTAAACTAATTCTGTGCAGGGAGTTGTTTTCTCAGAAAATTTAAGTGAGAAGATTTCATTTGATCAGTATGACAGTTATAACTCTAAGTGCACATGATGTAATGACAAGATTTCATCTGATCAGTGTGACAGTGTTAACTCAAGATGCACATGCTGTAATCATGAGACTTCATGCTGTCAAGATGCACATGCCGTCATGCGGTATAGGATTTTCCCTATACAACTACCAGCTCTTCCATCACCAAATAAACTCAGTGTTCATTCAAGAGGTTCACCAAGTCAGTCCTGTGGAAGTGAAATCCTGGGATTCATTATTTGATATTCTTTTAGTGATCAGCATTCTGGGTATGACCATGGATGTTGGGTTCTGATCCACCAGTGGGACACCATTATGGGTTAAACCAAATATTGACATGGTAGGCATTCAAATATTCAAAGGGTTAGGTCACCACAGAAAATGCATCATAATTATTTCCCCCTCATGTAATCACAGTTGCCCGCTCACAACTGTTTGAAGAAAAATAAGGTCATAAAAAAAGTATTAAACTTCCAAAAGTACAAGGGCATATTGTTATAACCATTTATTAAAGATAGTACTTTCAAATGATGTGAGGCCCTATTGCTATGACTATTTACTAGAAAAAAAGATTGAAATTTTATCCAAGGTAACATCGCTATTGCTCACCTTCAAAATGTTTAAGAAAGGTCCAACATCCCTGTCTCCAGTTGCATTGAAGATCAAAACACGACCAACCAGCCCACTACAAAGGAACAATGATTTTAAATAGCTTAGTAAAATGTCATTTAAACTACCCTGATTGTTCATAAAAGCTAAGGCTAGGACTAAGGGTAGACCTTCTGTTGTTTCTTTTATTCCCAAAGTACACATCAAAAGCACTAGAAGTTGAAGTCAATTGAGATTCACTATCAATGTCTATTTGCTTTATTTCAATCCTTTTTCAAAATACAATAATAATCCTTTGAGTCCTTTTGATTGGCAATTTTTGTATTTTCATCCCCTCTATACACCGAAAACATTACTAAAACACAGCAAAAACAATGCATCCGTCGGCCCTGCCATTACTGTGACCTTTCACAAGCCACGTGATAAACAAAACAATTCCTTGCAATGTCAATTGCTGGGATGGGATATTACAAAATCCTGTGAGCTTTGCCGAGAGATTTCTTTTGGACATTGTGTTTAATAGTTACAATTTTGGCTTCTCGTTATATTCACCAGTAATGAAAACCAGCATATACAATTATTGAAGATAAAAAATGTTGCTGTTAATTTCCCACAGTTTTTGAACTACTCAATAAATTCCATTCTTCTTCAAACTGTTGCAGTCCTGTGACAAAATTAATTCCTAGCTATTTTGAAAAGACTGAACACCCTCTAGACAGTGCTGGGAGGTAATTGAGTTGAAGTTTTAGGATAAAACAAACAAGCTTATATCAACAGGCAAAGAAACTCACTCAATGGCTCTTGTTTCTTTGTCTGCAGCCTCTTGGAACCAAGCAGTGCAAACCTGAGAAAATATCATAACTAAATAGACTCATCAAAAACTTCCTACCTAGCACATAGTGAACAAGCACTCTAAGTAGCCACTTAACATGAATCTTGCAGCTAACTACCTAGCACATAGTGAACAAGCACTCTAAGTAGCCACTTAACATGAATCTTGCAGCTAATTTAAAGAGAATGCATTCTCTGCAAGTCTCATGTCTCCACCACTAGTTATCCATCATATATTTAGTGGAGACATGGTACGGTAGGGTTGGCCAACCCGCATGCGTCCCACCACATCACTTTTTGTGACCCAAAGATGCCTGATTTATCACAAATAAAATGATTTGTTGTTTATTCAATTTACAAAGAAATCGATTTTAAAAAGTTAAGTGATTCGAAATAAAAATAACAAATTTAGTTTAATTTTTTAGCACTTCATTGTGTGCATTTAGAATAAATAATTCTAAAGCATTTAGTTGGTGCACATTTTTTAACATACCTGTGTGTGCTTCCTGAAAGGGTTAATCACTATGAAATAAAGCTTCCTTAACAGAGAACAGGACAAAAAGATTAGGACGTTTCGGCAAAGAGCCTTCATTTGTCCTGTGTGCTGAAGAAGGCTCTATGCTAAAACGTCCTAATCTTTTTGTCCTTTTCCTCTAATTCAAGCTTCCACATACCTCGTTTTGCTATTACATTTACTAGGCTCGAATGCAGTTCTTTAATTATTATATTTTACCCCTTAACAGATGACAGGAAAACTTGAATATACTTAAATGCCAAACCTCCATACTCTCCATCGTATGAGCACCATCCAAATAGTATGTAATGTTCATCCGTCTTATGCTCTGGGTACGACCTGGCCAGACACATGACATAAGTCCTGTGGATAGAGGATACAAATTTTAATAATATTCTTTTGTGGGCATGGAATCAGAGTCACAAACAGATGGTTGTGTTACAACAAGAAAACCGGACAGCATATCATAATATAACCATCAGTTCTATCATGTATTTCAAGAGGCATAACTATAACAAAATAATAACTGATATCAGATTTAATGAAACAGCTGTGCGTGAAGTAAAATCTTTCAAATGTCAAGATACAACCATAAAATATTTTTAAGCAACTTGAAATTCGAGATGGGAATTTCAGATTAAGCAGTTTATCAAAGGTGACCTCTCTAGGATGAGTGCAACCGAGTGAAATTTGAGAACCGATATAGCGCTCATGTCAACAGTGACAATGTTTCAATAAAGTTAATGTTACACTTATTGTTTACAAAGGTTAAAATTTCACTTATTATTAACAGAAACAGTAAAAGCTTTTATTATTTGAATGTCTTCAATATTTTGTAATACTGTTCTTAATTTATATCCAAAGTCCTTGTTATGTGACCATAAACTAGATAAGTACCGGTATCTCATAATGTGAACACACCTTTGGTTAAATACAGAAATATGGTTGAAAATATTGCTCATTTTGCCGGACAGAGTGGTCAAAATTAGGATATTTTAAATGAAAAATAAAATCCATTACCATGGATATAGGTGTAATTTTAATTAAAAAATTGAGTCTAATGTAAACCGAATAAATCAGTATATAATTATGTCATCAAGGAAAAACATGAGTCAATTCACCTTGTAGAACACCTTCATCTAAATCGTCCACAAACAGCTTAGGTATGTCCTCTGTTGAACTGACCAATGGAACATCAAGCGATAGTTCTTCTGGTTAAAGGAAAGTGCATGAGCCGTATTAGTGGACGCAGAGAAACTATTGGTCAATATTTCTGGTTTTGAATGACTACTAGTCCCTACTGAGGTGGTGGGCAATGCTGAATTGTACTTATGGCACCCTGGTAGCATTTTTGTAATAAGCTTAATCTGTTGGGCTGTGCCATACAACATAATCTGTAACGGAGCACCTAAATATCGCCCTTGCCACTCCAATGTAATGAAGTTCAAATAAAGGCCATCTTACTAATAAACGATAGGATCCATTTTACATGAAAATTTTAACTAAAAAATTAGGCTGATTATTGTAACAAAACAAAAAAAGTTCATAATAAAATGTATAGTTTGAGCCATAGCCCCCCCCCTGCCTGCACATAATATCCTATTCAGGTAGTTGAAAAGGGGATCTAATGAATTAAAAGAATAAACTCATATGGAGAAATTTATTCAATTATGGAATTCCTATTTAGGCCCTTTCAATGTGACACTTGCATTAAAAAAGGTTGGGGACGTCTGCTTCTCATAAAAAGGGATGGCTATTCAACCAGCCCTAAAGTCTATATGCCCATTTGACTCATCTAAATCTCTGAAGAAAAAACAGTAAGCCATCAAGCCAAAGCATATTAGACCCTCTCTAACGTGTCCCTATTCACCCCCCCCCCAAGCCCAAATAGCGTAATCGTTAGGAGCCCTCTGCTGCTGAGACAGCCCCACCCACCTTCCACTTGATTGACCATGCAAGTGGGACGACATCAACCAAGGAGCAACTGATTGGTTGGTAGTGTTGCAACACCAGCAGCCAAACTTTCTATAACTAGGATGGTTAGATTTAACAACCCAAAAAAACACTTCCCATCCTGGGATGGCGTCAGTCACCCCCTAACAGGGTTTCTACAAATGGTTTCTACCTCGTCAATAAGTTATTAAGTAGCTGGAATGAAACGGTTGCCTACGAACAGTCCCCTCAAAGGCTGTATGAGCCCAGCCAACTAGAATCATGGAATGAAATAAATAATGACACATTCTGGAAGTGACGTACTTTGACTATGTCTTTGTACCCACATGCGATACAACTGGATGGCTAAAGATGCATTCTCCCCTTGTTTTGCACCAGCAATGCCAAGGTGAATCTTGTGTGCGGCCAACAGCTCTTCAGACACAGGGACAGCTAGGTAAAGGGGATTCTGATTTCATAAAACAGTTAGCATTACATTAGTATAGCACAAAAACAAACAGAAAGCAGTAAAAAAATATTGTTTACGAAAAGTCTTTTTAATGCCTAACCATTGGAAAACAAACCAACACCCCCCCCCCAAATTAGAAACACTGACAAGAAATGCCATGAAGTCAGAAAAATTAAAAGTTTTTTTTAATAAATCAGAGCCAAGAAATACCACAATAGACTTGCTAATTAAATATCATATTAGGTGTATGATAACATTTTTTTACCAAGTGATTCTGTACAAAATTAAAGAATGCTGAGATTTACCAGTATCTCTATAGACCTGTCCAGCAAAACTTTCATAGCTTTTGAATCTTGTGGGACTGTGATGGCTGGATGACCTTTCTTTTGATGAAGAAATTATATTTTTAAAAATTTGTAAGACCCTGAAGACAATAAATTATTTTTACTTCATTGCCACGATACCTTAGTTTAGTTACAAGTTACTTTAAATTTGGGGTGATGCACTCATTGTTTTGAGTTATATTTCAAGCTTCCTCATATCTTAATCCGGACATTCTTTTCACACAGCTTGAATGCAGTCTGATATTATTCTTCATACTTTAAATTTAACACAGATAACCTGTGATCAAATATCAAAACAAAACCGGTTTACTTTGAAAATTCCAGCTTTGCTCCAGGCTATCTCCTCAATTGTGTTCCCAAGCATTGAAGTGTGGTCAAGACCAAGGGACGTCACTCCACACACAACAGGGTCCTTGACAAAGTTGGTGCTGTCGTACTGGCCACCTATGCCCACTTCCATAACAGCAACGTCTACACCCTCGGATATAAACACATGAAGTGAAAGGACTGTGAGAAATGGAAAATAGGCAGGCATGCCTCCTCCTTCAATATTCTGTCAGTTTGAAAAAAAATTGTGGGAATAAATTAGATTGGACTCTCGAGTAATAATGATAATTGGAATCATAAGCTGAACAAACTACAGATACTTATGGATAAAAACAATAGGGTTTGAAGAATTTTTTTATCAAAAGAAAACTATTTTATCTGGAAAATATTTTATAAGACAATACTGCATCATAATGACATGTAATTAATGGTTTTTGGGAACATGTCTAGGCATTTATAAAAACATTAGAACATGACAATCTAATACTGTTAATATATTCAATAACACTTATGTAATTGAAATGCTGATTAGCCTCTTAATGTAGTACAGGCAAGCTGGTTGTGAATAAGTACCCAAAATTAACCTCAGTTTGTGTATCCTTAAGGTTTGTGTACACCTTCCAGAAATATTCGCTGAACAGTTCTTTACTGACAGGCCGACCATTAATTCTGATCCTCTCACGGACTTCTACCAGGTGAGGTGAAGTGAACAGGCCCGTTTTGTAACCATGGCACGAGAGGATCCGCTCACAAAAGGCACAAGTGGAGCCCTTGCCCTTGGTACCACTAACATGTATCACAGAAAGGTTGTCAACCTGATCTTCCTGAAGGGGGATAAATGTTACACTGTTGGTGCACAATATATTTGCAGTTGATAAAAACCTAGCTAAAAACATTAATAGCACTACACTGTGCCTTCTTTGGTTTAAATAACCATGTCATTCATTCTACATCTTTAGTTAATAATGCAATGACCTTTACAGAGTTTAAAGCTATTAAGCACTATTACTAAGCTCTGTGATTGTTAACTTAAAAAACAATACGTGATAAAATAAATAAAGATAAAAATGGGGCTGATACCAATGTAATTTATTAAAATAAAATAAATGTCAGTGTTTTTTATCCTAGTAACAAGTGATAATTGCAATCGTAATTTTCACAAGTGTTATTTTTTCATGTCCCATAAATAATTAAATACATTACCATCAGGCCTGATCGTGTAATGTATTTTTTCATATTGGGAATGTTATGAAATTTTTTGTCTTGAGACTGACGAGCCTTAGCTATGGACTCTGCATTGGACTGGAGTTCAAACAGGGCCTTCATAGCTTCCTGTTTAAAAAAAGAAAACAAAGTGCATTGATAGATTTTCTTGGAAAATGGACTTCCAAATAAGTTTAACACCTTGCCCCACCCACAACATGTGATGTAGTTAATGGATGGTCCTTAACAGTAAGCATCCCTAAATATTACTGTACACAACCACAACATATTGTAATAATTAATGTAATATGTTAAATTGTACGTATTTTAGGCTGCATTAGCAATTAAGTTTTTGTAAAAGTTGAAAAGATTCTCGTAACTTTGGGGGGTGTGCTTTTACCCATGGCCCATGGTTAAGAACCACTTTTCTAGTGAAATGTTTCTGACACTGGTGCAGTAATTTGTTATCCACGGACCATGGGGGGTGAATTTCTTAAAGTTTAAGGGTTTGTAAAGGATAGTAGTGGACACAGGGAATTTGTTTTGGGGGGGGGGGGGGGGGGGGG